GATGCTGATAAAAGCAGGCACCACTAACACCTGGGGAGCAGCTCCATCTATTGGTGAGGAGCATCACCTGCTGGAAAACGGGTCCAGCGTTCCTTATACAGGCTGAAATTTGTACATGTCAAAAGAAACCATTATGAGGAGTTCCTGCCAGTATTGATTACCCTGGGATCCAGGGGATGGACTGAGCAGGATATTGGGAAGAGGGAGGAACAATCTCTTCACCTTGAAACCGGCGCCAGATTCCTGCTGTTACACCCTAACTGCTAGGCTACTCAAAATTTGCTAGTACTCCCTTTATTCCACAAAATTTACCTGGTTCTGAGTAGCACCTTAGATACGAGGGCCTGTCCTCTTAACCACACCTTAGGTGGGAATGCCAGGTGTGAGGGGGAGTGAGGAGGCAGGTTCAGCGTCCAGGGGGTGATCAATAGATAAATAAAATAACAGAACCAAAAGAGTGTGCACGATGTATGTTGATTGATTGATGGATGAATTGATCCGTTACAACAAACAAAAGCCAGAAAAGTGCGTGAATTCACGCCTGCACACACACACACACACAAAAGTAGCACTGAAAGTCGGACGAAACAGTCTTGCACAGTCATGCCTGGGTTTCTGGAGTTGTGTATAGAGAAAACGATAGTACGCGCATGCATGCACACGGACGCAAGCACACACCTGGCCAGATGCACACGCACACAGGCAGACAGACACACAGAGTGCGAGGGAGCGAGATTGTATGTGTGTCGTGTGTGTGTGTCGTCATGTCAGTAGCGCGACGGTGGCAATTTGTAGTGTGTGTGTGTGTATGTGTGGGGGCTGTCTCTTATACACATCTAGATGTGTATAAGAGACAGTGCTTAGACCCATTGCTTTGGCTACCTTACGGTTGTGTTCCCTGCGCCCACGTAGTAGACAATATAGCTGGGGCATCGGGACCCTACCTATCCGCCGGCATTAGCGCTAGCGGCTGTACCGAGTACTACCAACCGCTACCTTACCCTTCCCTAACCACATGAACAATCTCTCCAGTGTACCAACCCCTACCTTACCCTTCCCCAGCCACATCAACAAACAAACTAGGGGCTGCGCACCGTGCCCTCACCTTAAGTCAATAGGGTGTGTCGCAGCCCGTCAGGGTTGCGTTTTCCTCCCCTGAGACATTTCAACGTCAATCAAATTTCAACGTCGTGGTCGTCGGGAGGGTGGCCATTTTGAGATTTTGGGGCCTTGCAAGGGTCAGGACGGCGTAGGACCACTAGCTGCCCGTAGGAGGCCGAGGAGGCCGTGGTCCTTAAGCCTTTTTCGAAATTGAAACGGTGTGGGTGCACTTTTCTCGAATAGCAGAGTACCCCGAATAGAAATTTTACACTTTGTATTCGAATACAACGTGTACCCTTTCTATTCAGATTTCGAAAAGAAAAACTTTTGTATTCCAATATAATTGGTACGTTTTTTTTGGAGGTTAGCGCCTGCCCTTGTGCTC